GAACATAAACTGTCGATCAAGGGTGACTTGTGGGATAAGAGATCTGAGCCATCCATTCTATAGATGGGCCATCAACATTATAGAAGGTGGATGAACTATTATCCCCCTTTCCTAAATCATTTTCCCATCAATATATTTAAATAAAATAAATATCATGCATTCTATAAAATTTCACCATCCATGTCACATATTCCATAAGGATATGTCAAATAATATCAAGTAGATAAATACTATCAAATATATATAAGATAAGATCCATATCAATTCAAATTGACCATATATTTTTAAAACAAACTTGCTACAAAATAGATAAAGTCATTGTCAATATATCCCTTCCAAGATTTGACCACATGCCACAAATCAGACTAACCTTATCTTAAAAACAAACAAGAGAATCCAAAGAGGGTGGGGCGTGCCACTCTTTTGTGGCTCATGTGGGCCCCCACCTACATGCCACATGGTGGGCCCATGTGCACTATGGGCCCCCGTGGAATATTATAAAAAAATGTTATTTTTAAAATTGAATAAAACAATTTAAAATATATATTTGAAGTTTTATAACTTTGTAAGAACAATAACTGTATTTTTATCAGTCCAAAAATCACAAATAAAATATTTCGATATTCATAAAAATTTAAATAATAAAACTAAAATCATTTCAATAATAAAATGAACACAATTAAATTAATATGATAGGAAAATGATCCATATGGTTTTAGGAATCCAATCTGTAATAACATGGTACTCTACCTTCAATTGTAGACTACAGACCACACTAGCTTTATTTAACTGACTCAGTGTTTCTCATGACCCACAGTCCAAGCAGGCGATGAATCAAGGGGACGCAATCTCAATCTGTAGATTAGAAGTCATCCCCTAGAGACGAGTCAAGGTCACCACAATCTGATGCGACCACAGCTCTATTGCGCATAGGGGTATCTCTTGCACATGCATACGCTTCACTCAAAGGTGGATATCGGCGTTCCCGAACGATCTATCAATATACATGCCGTGTGATGGAACATGGATGAGGTTTTGGCCCCCGTCTCAGTAGGCCACCATCACACACAAGGGTCACACAGTCCCTCGGATCACTCATCTGAGCATGTTCTCCGACCTCATGAAGGGCTAACCCATAAACCCTTATCGGTTTGTTCTTCATGCCCGAGTAACATGGTTTTTTTCCAACCGACTGGCCTAGATTGTTAAGCACAGATCGGTATCAGCAAATCATCGTTTGCTTAATATGGTCCACGAGGGACCATACTACCACTGAATTCATGTTCCACTATATCATTTCATTTTACAAGCACTCATAAGGCCTTTAAAGGCCACATAAATCTCCCACTTGGCCTTTGAAGGCCTTACATTTTCTCTTTCTCACTTTCCCTTATTCTCATCTCTCTCTCCCAATTACAATCTCTCTCAAGGATTTTTACTTATTCTCTCAATACATTAATCATGACTCTCGCTATCAATCCTTTCACAAAAGGATTTATAGAGACATCACATTTTTCTCTTTGCTGCTCGGATCTCATCCCAAAAATGGTCATAGTTCATCTTTCACATCGCATCGCGAATCATGGACCTGTTGTCACAAAAGACCTCACGTACCCTCATCGCATGGCGTCGCATGAGTTGAGAGAGATGGATTCTTTTTTTGCTAAACCCTAAAACCCTTAGCCGTAAATCTGTATTTGAGAGATAGGAGAGAAGAACTCCATAACCTGAACGCTTAGGTTCTTTCACAATATGAAAGACAGAGAGATCAAACACGAGAAAGTGGTACGTGCCCCCTTTTCGGGATATGAGAGAGAAATATGGGAATTAGGTACAAGAGATAAAGTGTAGAGATTTTTGGGTAAAAATTTTTTTTATAGGCTTTGAATAAGATTAGGGTTTCTTAAAGTTTTCTTTAGCTTGCCTCTTCTTGTGAGATTGAACATAGACCGTCGATCAAGGGTGACTTGTGGGGTAAGAGATCTGAGCCATTGATTCCATAGATGGGCCATCAACATTATGGAAGGTGTATGAATCATTATCCCCCTTTCTTAAACCATTTTCCCATCAATATATTTATATAAAATAAATATCATGCATTTTATAAAATTGCACGATCCATGTCACATATTCCATAATGATATGTCAAATACTACCAAATATAAATAAGATAGGATCCATATCAATTCAAATTGACCATATCTCTTTAAAATAAACTTGCTACAATATAAATAAAGCCATGGTCAATATATCCCTTCTAAGATTTGACCACATGCCACAAATCAAACTAACCTTATCTTAAAAGTAAACAAGAGACTCCAAAGAGGGTGGGGCGTGCCACCCTTTTGTGGCACATGTGGGCCCCCACCCACATGCCACATAGTGGGCCCATGTGCATTATAGGCCCCCATAGAATATTATAAAAAAAAATATTGTTTTTAAAATTGAATAAAACAATTTAAAATACATATTTGAAGTTTTATAACTTTGTAAGAACAATAACTGTACTTTTATAAGTCCAAAAATCGTAAATAAAATATTGAGAGATTCATAAAAATTCAAATAATAAAACTAAAATCATTTCAATAAATAAAATGAATACAATTAAATTAATATGATGGGAAAATGATCCATATGGTTTTAGGAATCCAATTTGTAATAACGAGGTACTCGACCTTCAACTGTAGACTACATACCACACTAGCTTTATCGAACCTACCTAGTGTTTCCCATGACCTACAATCCAAGCAGGATATCATTAGCGGGTCACCAAAGTCAGGTCGATGAATCAAGAGGTTGCAATCCTAGTCTGTGGATTACAGGTCCTCCCCTAGAGACGAGTCAATGTCACCACGGCCTGATGCGACCATAGCTCTATGGCACATAAAGGTATCTCTCACACATCCATATGTTTCACCCAAAGGTGGATATTTGGCTTTCTCGAATGATCTATCAATATGTATGCCGTGTGATAGAACATAGATGAGGTTTTGGCCCTCGTCTCAGTAGGCCACCATCACACACAAGGGTTACACAGTCCCTCGGCTCACTCATCTGAGCATGTTCTTCGACCTCATCAAGGGCTAACTCATAAACCTTTATCCGTTTGTTCTTCATGCCAAGGTAACATGGGTTTTTCCCAACCGACTGCCTTAGATAGTTAAGCACAGATCGGTATCAACAAACCATTGTTTGCTTAGTATGGTCCACAAGGGACCACACTCCCACTAAGCTCATGTTTCACTATATCATTTCATTTTACAAGCACTCATAAGGCCTTTAAAGATCACATGAACCCAACAAATGTGATAGCATTCATGTATATGCAGCAATATGCAAAACAATTTATGTTAATGTTATAGCTCTCATGTGCATGTATAGATGTATCTATCAATGTATCCATGTTTATATTTTTGTGTAGACAAATTAAATGATAGTTATGTTTCTGATTACAAGGTTCAATATGCATATGGGCGTCTCTCACCCAAACTAACAATTTCAACAATGGAGCACCATGGATAAAAATAAGCAATACAATGTAGTGATTTTCTTTTTGAAGTGGGAGTTATTGACTGCAAGAAACTGAAATCTACACCTAGTGAAACATTTTGGATCCAAATTATCTCAAAGTTGATTTGAAAATATGATCTTTTTCATAGGAGTGTTCTATTTGACATGATTGCCATGAAGGAAGCAATAGAACAGTGGGTATTCATATTGTCCAAGTTAATTTGCAGAAAAGACAGAGCATTAATACAGAAAAAGAGAGAAACATAGCGCAATGCAAGCTCCACAGATGATAATCTTCACCAGTACTTAAATAAAATAGATCGGTGTCTCGGATCGGCCATCCAAAAAATCGGTCATCGACAGATTGGCTGTCCAGATCAACAATTTGGCCAATAAAAAAGTTAAAAAAAAATAGAGAACAAATAAAATTGAAAGATAATTAAAATAGAAATTGGGATCTCAATCGACCTTTTGACTGTAAGACTCAGCCCGTTCTATCAGAGAACCGGCTAATCTCAGGGAAGAACCAACCCAATCTTCGCATTTGAAAAATACAGTAGTAAACCCATGTCACAATTATGGCTTTTAAGAGCAAATCCTTGTTATATATACACATACATAAAATATGTAAACAAATGATGATGATGATTTATATCTCAATCGGACCCTAGGCTTGGGTGTATTGACTTGGACCCGACACAGTTCTAGGTCAATTCCAAGTCTCAATCCAACTTAGTAGGGTCAGGTGGGGTGGTCACCGACCAGCCCCTTTACACTCTTTTGATTAATGCAATTTACATAATAGATTGTGGGTGTTTTCATCTATTTTTTTATTTGACCAATTAAATTCCAAAGGAAAATTTATATACGAACCACAAATAATTTTTGGAATTAGAATATAGCCCATATTTTGGGTCATTTTCCCTTGGTTCCAAAATCCAACTTTCAAGTCGCCTAAAATACAAACAACTAAAGGCGTGTTTGACAAAAGGTCATGCCTTGAATGAAAATGGAAGATGCATACAATGGAGGCTGCATCTACCATAAAAAGGGCATCTCTAAGAGGGGCGAGGAAGCCCGCCCTCCCATTTTTGGGCTTCCACAACAAACATGAAAGCGGGAGATGTTGGAACCTTCAACTTCCACTTCCAATGACTCCAATTTATCAAACGCGCTATAAGTACTTGTGTGGTTCTAGAACTTTCGAATCACCTAAAATACAAAAAATAACTAAGTGTACTAGCATATCTAAAATACAAAAACCAACAAGATTTTATGAGAAAAGTACCCATTATTTCTCGCATAAAGTGGTCATAAATTTTATACAGTTCAAAAGTTGGACATTCTAACAAGTGGTAAAATGGTAATAAAAATTAAAAAATCACCCCAAGGTTAAGGCAAAGTATCCCAAAATAACGAACTTCTTTTAAAATTCAAAATCTAAAGAGAGTGTCCCCAACGGTCACTTTGTTGCTATTATCTCAGAGAGTGAGAGGCCAATTTCCAATGGTCCTTTACTGTTATATCACTTTAGAGAGAGAGATATCAATGTTAGAGAAAGAGAGAAAAGGAGAACGATCCTAGAGAGAGAAGGGGGCCATGGCCATCAAGAACGAGAGAATGGTCATTGACATATTGTCATCTGATGAAGATATAACACCATTGAAACCTAAAATCAGACTTTCAGGCAATGAAAACAACATCTTGGAAGTAAAAGTGGGGAGAGAGAGAAATAAAGTCATGGATGATGACTGTTGCATACTTGATTTTTATGCTCAATCCATTGGATTCAATGCCAAAATTGATTTTAAAGTTGCAGAGGATTTGATTGTGGTGGGCGAAAAGGGTCCGGTAAAGCTCTGTGCTATGATATATGAATCCCCATTTCTTCACTTTGAGTAGCTTCATGGAACATGTATTTTATTTCTTTTTTTTTTTCTTTTCTTCCTGTGTCTTGTACTAAAGTTTTCGAATTGATTTCAAAATATGTTATTATTTTCTTGTTTTGCTTTTTAGAGAGACAGAGTGAGGTTTAATCAATCCTTTTTTTTTTTTTGCGTTTTGAGTAGTTTTATGGAAATTGTAGTAATTTCTTTCTTTTTTCACCTTTTATTTCCGTCCTGTTTTAGATTTTTTCCAATAGGTCTAAAACTATTTGGGGTTCCTCTTCCTTTCGTCTTTTGGATATTAGAGAGAGAGGTATGTTTAATCTGTCCCCATTTTTTCCCCCTTAGAGCAGGTTCACGGAAAATGTAAATGTATTTTAATTCTTATTTTACCCTTTTTTCAACCTTTTTTTTAATGGTTCCAAAGTGACTCAAATTATTGTCAGGTTTTCTTCTTTTTTTCAGATGAGTAGTTTCATGGAAAATGAAATTTCTTTCTTTTTTTCTTTTTATTTTTTCCTCTGCCTTGTTTTAAATTTTTCGAATGGGTCAAATTATTCTGGGGTTGTTCTCTTTTTCTTTGTTTTTAGAGAGAGAGATGCGGGAGGCGGGTTTAATTGTGATTCTTTGCTGAAAATTCTGGAGTTTCCTTTTTTTGGTGCTACGTTTGCAGAGTCTGTGAGAAATTTCCTCAAAGTTTTGTTGAAACTCATTGGATTTAATTGTGAATATTTAAAAGAAGATTGAGGAAATGAATATTGTGAAAAAAACTCAGTATTTAGTAACAATAATCAAAGAATTATTTTGCAGGTGGCATGCAGAGACTATCCTCATCCAAGGCATCTCTGTGCCAAATTTCCCTTCAACAAAACTCCACATTCCCTCCATTGCCCACAGGTGAAAATCTCTCTCTCTCTCAGAAAATATCCTCTCTGTATGTCTCCAACTTCTCTGTTTTTTTTCTTTTTGCCCAACTCTCTCTCTACCATTTTTGCCAAGACTCTCCACAAAGGCAAAAATCCAACTTTCCATGTTTTCATACTAATCTCCCTTAAAAAATTTACTCAGATTAGTATGAAACACAAACTGACAGAATGCAATGTTTGTTGTTAAATTCACAGTGCCACTGCTATGTTTGTGACAAGCCAGCTCCATGTGTGGCCTGGACTGCTTGGAAAAATTCTCATTGTGATGCTTCAGACACTGACAAATGGTGGATATCAAGGAGAAATGCATTGAAAAAGATCTCCCGATAATTAAACTCCACCTATGTTCGCTCTTTTCTCGCCAGTTCGGTAGGTCGGTGGCTGTAACATATTGCCTGGTCATTGTGGGTCATCGCCAAAAAATGAAATTCTTGTCACTTTTTGCTCTTTTCGGCTGGATTCCAGTAGGTTGATGGCAGAAAGATTTTGCTTGCTCATGTTGGGGTCTTGCAAAACATGCAGAAGAAGATATATTTTATTCTTCACTACTTGCCGTGAAGTTTCTTCCTTCTCAATGATGCAAATTGGAAAAAGCTTGTCTTGTTGATTTCTTTTATGTTTCTTGGATTGTAGCTCAATCTGGGCCATTGATTTTCGGTTATGTGTATACTGATCAAACAAAGTTTTGATTTCTTTTGTATTTGTTGGAGTGTAACTCAGCTCGGCATCTTTGATTTTTTGTTATATGCCTACTGATCAAACAAAGTCCTCTCTCTCTCTCTCTCTCTCTCTCTCTCTCTCGTCGTTGTTATACTAGTAGTAGTAGTACGTACGTACGTAGTACGACGTACGTAGTACGACGTACGACTACGTACGTACGTCGTACTACTAACTA